TCGATTTTTTTTATTCTGTATTTATTTATTTATTTTATCGTGCGACCATATCGTAAAATCTCTTCAACACCAAGAAACAACATCACAAAAGTCGCACGACAGTCCAGAGACACGAATCCGGCTGCAAAGAGTCTCCCACGGCCTATTACAAAGACTATATAACGAAAGAAATTAAAGCCCGTATCCCACCGTTTAAAAAAAAGGCGCGATCCCAAACTCCTTACAGCGCCATCTATTTTTCAGATTCCACACTATCCGCCAACCGTTGGATCTCCCAGACTTTTGCTACGCTTTCCCATCTTTTGTATATAGTCTTTGGCCTAAAAAGAGCCAGGCGCGCGACAGAAGGAAGACAGAAACGCCTAGAAACTGTTGCTACTACACAGTGTCGCCCTCTCCAGTGTCTCCGGACTGTCGCTCGATAATCACGCGATTGTCGAACAGTTTGTTAAAATTGTGCCAAGCGCGACCTAATAGATTTTCATTACACAGACATGCACATAGAAATAAATGCATATCTATCAGTCTAGACATGCATATATACCGTACAGATAGAAAAATGAATGTATATCTATTTGATAAAAAGATAGATATGCATTTATTTTTATATATGGGTCTGTTTATATGGATATTCGTTGGGTCGGGCCTGGCACAATTTTGACAAACAGGCCGCATATCTCGATTGTGTTGCATGCGACTATTTCACAGAATCTCTCTAGATATTTATCTTGGTGTGTATTTGTACCTTTTCCTGTTAAATGGAGTGGAATGACACACCTCTCCTGTCTTTCCTGCCCTACACGTTAATTAATCAGCGGCTTATAGATTATCATAACTGTTATTATCGTTATCGGTACTTTAATTATAATTTTCCATTATCATTATTTATATTTTTATTATCATTCTGTACCATCATTATTTATGCTTTTATTTTCTGTACCATCATTATTTATGCTTTTATTATCATTCTACCATTATTCATATTTTTATTATCATTCTCTACCATCATTATTCATACTTTTATCATCATTCTCCATTATCATCATTATTATTGCTACCCCCGTTCCATTATCATTATTTATATTTTTATTATCATTCTCTACGATCATTATTCATATTCCTATTAACACTCTCTACCATCATTATTCATACTTTTATCCTCATTCTCCCTCATCATTATCATTATTGCTACCCCCATTACAGTCCCGCCCCTCATTATCATCATCATTATCATTATCACTATTGCTACCCCCATTACAGTCCCCCCCTCATTATCATCATCATTACCATTATCATCATCATTATTGCAACCCCCATTACATCCCTTCTCCTCCTCCTCCTCCCAGCGCTATCATTCCATTTATCATCATTTATTATTGCAACCCCATTACAGTCCCTTCTCCTCCTCCTCCCTCCCCAGCGCTATCATTACCATTATCATCATTATTATTGCAACCCCCATTACAGCCCCCCCCCTTTCTCCTCCTCCCTCCCCAGCGCGAGTGCATCAGCATCCACGTGGGCCAGGCCGGCGTCCAGATCGGCAACGCCTGCTGGGAACTATACTGCCTCGAGCATGGCATCCAGCCCGACGGCCAGATGCCCTCCGACAAGACCGTGGGCAGCGGCGACGACTCCTTCAACACCTTCTTCAGCGAAACCGGGTCCGGGAAGCACGTGCCTAGGGCTGTCTTCGTCGACTTGGAGCCCTCGGTCATCGGTGGGTTGGGAAGGAGAAGAGCCGCTGTCTTGGGAATGTTGTGGCTTTTGTGTGTTTTTGTTGTTGTTGAAATGGGCGTCTGTTTTTTTTTTTTTTTTTTTTTTTTTTTTGTCTCGTTGTGGACAAACGGCAACGGGGTTTTACCATTTCAACATTACAACTACTACTGCCATTACAACAACTAATTATAACGATGGTATTTAGTCCTTAAAGAGATCAAACGGCAACGGATTTTACCATTTCATCATTACAACTACTACTACCATTGCAGTTAATAATAATAATAATGGTATTAAGCCTTTGAAGAGATCAAACTTCCTAACCAAACCAAACCAAAACCAAAAACCAAAACACTTCAGAAGCCCCCCTCCCCCCCTCTCCCCCTCCCCAACGCCCCCTTCCCCTAACTTGACCCCCTCTTTTCCCACCTTTTCCAGACGAGGTGCGAACGGGTACCTACCGCGCCCTCTTCCACCCCGAACAGCTGATCACAGGCAAGGAGGACGCAGCCAACAACTACGCCCGCGGTCACTATACCATTGGCAAGGAGATTGTCGATGTGGTGCTCGAGAAAGTGCGAAAGTTGGCCGACCAGTGCACAGGTAAGAGGACGTGCGTTGTCGTGAATTATTTATTTTTCATTGGCGTTATTTTGTCTTTTATTCTCATTCGTTGTGGTATAGTTCTCTGTCTTCCTTGGATCCTTTGTCTGTATGTGTGTATCTGTGCGTTTTCTTCCTTCCTCTTTCTCTTCCTACTCTCTCTCTCTATCCGGTCTTCTCTACCCCACACCCCCATCCCTCTCTCTCTCTCTCTCTGCTTCCTTCTATCCCTCTCTCCTCCTCCTTTCCTCTCTTTCTCTCTTTCTTCTTTACTCTCTCTCTCTTCATGCTTCCCTCTTTCTTCCTCCTCCCTCTCCCTCTTTCCTTCTTATCTCTCTCTCTTCGTCCTTCCTTCTTACCTTCCTTCCTCCTTCCTTCTCCTTATCTGTCTCTCTTCGTCCTCCCCTCTTACCTTCTTTCTATCCACCTTCCCCTCTCCCTCCTTCCTTCTCCTTATCTGTCTCTCTTCGTCCTCCCTCTTTCCTTCTTTCATCCTCCCTCCCCTCTCCCTTCTCCCCTCCTTCTTCTCCTTACCTCTCTCTCTCTTCCTGTCCCTTCCCTCCCACCATCTCGAATTCAGCCCGCCCTGAATTCCTGTAACCCAATTCGCCAAGAAGGACAGCAATTCCAGGCTGGTTTTGCTAATGGCCCGTGAACACAAGGGGCCTCTTCCACTCATCAACCGACCCCTCGCATTTATTCCGTCGCCCTGTGCAATTTTCCGCAATTAAGCCTCTTGTCGATCCACTTCCGCCGTTGCAATTTCTTAGGGTAAAATTCGATTCCCCGTTTACTCATGAGTCACTGCTCGACTCATGACTCATGAACTCGTGAACTCGGGACACTCCTGTGAGTCATAGAGAATCACCCTTTTAAAAAAACTCGTTATTTTAACTCCTAATTTGTGAGCCATACCAGCTGATTGCTGACTTATACATCCCCCTCACACCTGTGCATTTGGACTCTCCCTCTCTTTCTTTCATTCTTTTCTCTTTTTTCCTTGTCTCTGTCTCTCTTTTTTCTTTTCTCTCTCTTCTCTCTCTCTCTCTCTCTCTCTCTCTCTCTCTCTCTCTCTTCTCTCTCTCTCTCTCTCTCTCTCTCTCTCTCTCTCTCTCTCTCTCTCTCTCTCTCTCTCTCTCTCTCTCTCTTCTTGTTCTTTCTTCCTCTCTCTCTTTCTTTTTCTTCTTCTCCTTCTCCTTCTCCCTACCTCCTCTCCTCCCTCTTTGTCCATCTCTCTATCTATCTAACTACCCCTATCTATTTATCTCCCACCCCCCCCTCCCTCACCCACTCACGCCCATCCGCCCACTCCCCATCCTCCCCCACTCACGCCCATCCTCCCGCCCACTCACGCCCATCCTCCCGCCCACAGGTCTCCAAGGCTTCCTGATCTTCCACTCGTTCGGCGGTGGCACTGGCTCCGGCTTCACCTCCCTGCTCATGGAGAGGCTCTCGGTCGACTACGGCAAGAAGAGCAAGCTGGAGTTCGCCATCTACCCCGCGCCTCAGGTACCGGTTTGAAAACACGGGGGTTGGGTGGGGAGGAGGGGGGAGGGAGGGGGGAGGGGGGAGGAGGGAAGGGAGGGAAGGGTGGGGTTGGGAGATGGAAGGGAGGGGGAGGAAGGGAGGGGAGGTGGAAGGGAGAGAGGGGAGGGAGGGAGGAAGGAAGGAGGAAGGGGTGGGTTGGGGTAGAGAGAAGGAGGGAGAGAGGAAAGAGGAAGAAGGGATGGCGGAGGGAGGGAGAGAGGGAGGAGAATGTCAGAAGGATGGAGTGAAGAGGGTATTGGTAGGTGGAGGTCCAGGTGTAGTAGTGAAGGAAGTGGACTTTCAAAAGGGGTTCAGAATAATAGGATAAACGATAATAAAGTGTAAATGATAACGATAAATACCACTACCGGAACTACCATCAACAGCAGTTATACCAAAACAATAATTACAAGTAAAAAAAAAAAAAAAAAAAAAACATTTCTCAGTATTGACACTATCATAACTATTTTCTCTAAGTACAAAACCTTTCTTTAAAATTTGGGTCTAGAAACAGATGTAAAAAAAAAACTAATAATAAAAAAAGAAATAAATAATAATAATAATAATAGACTGCAGATTAATCCTGGAAAATGAAGGTTAGACGAACACGCCAAAGTTCATTTTTAGGTCACGTAATCAATATAATTTTCTTATTTTAGCCTGAGATATGTATTTAACTTTTGGGTTTCGAATTCACTCCGAAGGCGGGGTGGGGGAAAGTCTTGAAGCTAAAAATGGAATGAAATCAATTACATTGCTGCTGTAAAATTTGCCGTAACAATTCTCGAGATTTTTTAATTCGTGTGTTGTTTGTCACCTTTTTCGTTCGGATTAAAATTTCTCACTCTGTCTCATTCCCTTATTTGATTTCATCATTTTCTTTCAATCACTTTTTTTTATCTATCTCTGCCTCTCTCCCTCACTTTCCGTTCTATATCTGCCTCTCTCCCTCTCTTTTCGAACTATTTCTGTCTCTTTCCCTCTCTTTTCGACCTATTTCTGCCTCTCCCTCATTTCATTTCTTTTTCCTCTCTCCCTCCCTTATCGACCAATTTCCTTGCCTCTCTCCCTCACTGATGGATCATACTTTCTCCCTCTTTCACTTGATTCATCTTTCTCTCTTTCCCTCAATTATCGTCCAATCTCTTCTACCTCTCTCCCTCACTTGATTTATTTTGCCCCTCTCTCTCCCTTATTTTATTTTATTTTCCCTCTCCCGTATTTTATTTATTTTCCCTCTCCCTTACTTTATTCTATTTTCTCCCCTTACTTTATTTATTTTCCCTCTCCCGTATTTTATTTATTTCCCTCTCCCATACTTTATTTATTTTTTTGTCTCTCCCTTTTCATCCAACACCTCTTCCTCTCTCCCAAACTTGACTAATCCTTCTCTCTCTCCCTTGACCAGGTCGCCACCGCCGTCGTGGAGCCCTACAACTCCATCCTGACAACCCACACCACCCTGGAGCACTCTGACTGCGCCTTCATGGTCGACAACGAAGCCATCTACGACATCTGCCGCAGGAACCTGGACATCGAACGTCCCACTTACACTAACCTGAACCGACTGATTGGTCAGATCGTGTCGTCAATTACCGCTTCTCTCAGGTGGCGAGTCTGGTCGGAATGTTCCGTTTTCTATCTCCTATCTTCCCGTTTTTTGTTTTATTCGTGTAGTGTGTTTCCGTTTTCTGTTCTTCGTGTATAGTATCGACGTTTTCTTTTCTACGTGTACTGTCTCTCCGTTTTCTGTTTCGATTTTTATTATTTTATTCATATATGTGAGTTTATTTAGTTCCGTGTCCTTGCTCTTTTTTCCTTCTTATTTTCTTTTAAGTCTATGTATTTGACTTCTTTATTCTTTCTATTCCTTCCCTTTATGTTTCTCTTCTTATTTCCCTTTCTGTGTTTCCTAATTTCGCGCTTTTCTACTTTTAATTTGCTAAAAAATGATCGTATAGCTGGGATCTCAATGAATAAGTCAGAATTAGGGATTGCCTTTTTTATTTTTAAGTTCGTTTGGCTCAGTAGCAAAACAGATAATTATTATTTAAAAGAATTCCTTACTGAGGACTCCCGTTTTTTTAAAAGCAAAACAACAATTAATTATAGATTGCAAAGCACAACACACATACACACGCACACACACACACACACACACACACACACACACACCACACACGCACACACACACACACACACACACACCACACACACACACACACACACACACACACACACAGCACACACACACACACACACACACACACACACACACACACACAACACATACACAACACACACACACACACACACACATACACACACTAACACACACACACACACACACACATACACACCACACACACACACACACACACACACAACACAACACAACACAACACACACGCACACTCCGCGACTACCCCACGACTTCCCCGCTTCTTACATGCCCGCCCCTCACGCAGGTTCGACGGCGCCCTGAACGTGGACCTGACGGAGTTCCAGACCAACCTGGTGCCCTACCCCAGGATCCACTTCCCCCTGGTCACCTACGCCCCCGTCATCTCTGCTGAAAAGGCTTACCACGAGCAGCTTTCCGTCGCCGAGATCACCAAACGCCTGCTTCGAGCCTGCTAATCAGGTGGGGAGGGGGTGGAAGGGTGTGGAGGGTGTGGAGGGGTGGAGAGTGGTGAAGAGGGTATTGGAGGGATGGAGAGAGGGGTAGAAGAGGGTGTTGGAGGGGTGGAGAAGGGGAGGGGGTGGGAGGAGGGGAGGTGTGAGAGGGTGAGGGGAGTGGGGGAGGGAGTGATGGAGGGGAGGGGTAGGTGAGGGGGACAGAGAGAGTGTGAGTAGGGTGAGAGGTGGGGGGGGGGGGGGCTAGGAAACAGGGGGGGATAGAAAGGGGAGGTTGGAACTGGAGAGGTAGGGTGACTTCTTGTCTGGTTTGTAGAGTAACTAGACCAGTCAGTAAGGAGAAGAAAATACTTCAGCATATCATCAAAATAACCTTTCCATAGATTTAAAAAAAACTCACTTCTTTCTTACCTACTAATTCCTTTGCATATTATGGTCTTCAACAAAACTTCCTTCTCCTGACCAAAAGAGAAAGAAAATAGAAAACCACAACAAAAACATTAATTCCTTCTCCCTCCCAGATGGTGAAATGCGACCCACGCCACGGCAAGTACATGGCCTGCTGTCTCCTGTACCGAGGTGATGTTGTACCCAAGGACGTGAACGCTGCCATTGCCGCCATTAAGACCAAGAGGACCATCCAGTTTGTGGACTGGTGCCCCACAGGATTCAAGGTATGCGGTGTTGGTTTATTTTATTTTAGTTTTTGGTTTTCTAGTGATTATTTCTTTTTATCTGGAGGAAGGTGGTTATGTTTGTATCTAATGACTTAATAATATATCAGTGAAATGTATTCCTAAAGAATGACTGATACTGCAATGAAATGTATATCTAATTAATTATTAACATTATTAACAATATATATAAATATATTAGTTAGGGCTCTACTCTCTACAGGCCACGTTTTCTTTGGTAACTCACTACATTATCAGGGGACACTGCTTTATATTATCCAAGCCTTTTCTCCCGCGCTTCAAAACCTCACCACTCCCTTCCACCAAGAACCTAATAAACCCCAACAAGAGAGCATACCCATTCTGTCCCAACTCCCCATACTCCAGCATTCTAATTTATCCTCCTTTTCCAGGTGGGCATTAACTACCAGCCTCCTACAGTGGTGCCCGGCGGTGACCTCGCTAAAGTAGCTCGCGCAGTCTGCATGCTGTCCAACACCACCGCCATCGCTGAGGCCTGGGCACGTCTCGACCACAAGTTCGACCTCATGTATGCCAAGAGGGCTTTCGTTCACTGGTGAGTGTGGGGATACGTTTTATTTAAATTTTGATATTGACTGATTGATTATTTAAGATTATATGCAAGAGCTGAGGTCCTTTGTGGCGAATACCTTGTGGGATTAAAACGTTTGAAAATCTAACAATAATTAATGTATCTTGTTAGTAAAAATAGATAATAATACGTAAAGTGTTAAAAATCAAAGCATGGATATTATGCTTAAAAAAATACAAATATTATAAAAAGTTAAATTAATAGGTTAAGGAAAAGAAATAAAGGAAAGGAATATGAGAATAAAGAAAGATAGAAACGTAAAATCGATAAAGTAGACTCAGATAAATCACGCTTCTCAAACCAACCAATCCTGAGAACTAATCTCACTCAGAGACACTCTTCACAATCATTCTAATAAATAAAAAAAAAGAAAAAAAAAAAATCGTAGACATAATTTTTTTTTTCAAACCACCTCTTCTTTAAAAAAAAAAAAAGAGAAAGAAAAAAAATCTTTGACATAACTTTTTTTTTTTTCAAACCAACCCTTCTTTTACCGCGATCTCCCCCCCCCCCCCTCCAGGTACGTGGGTGAGGGCATGGAGGAGGGCGAGTTCTCCGAGGCCCGTGAGGACTTGGCCGCCCTCGAGAAGGACTACGAAGAGGTCGGCCTCGACTCCGCTGAGGGCGAGGGCGAAGAGGAAGAAGGCCAGGAGTATTAAAAATAAGAAATCAAAAACAAAACAAAGCAAACTAAAAAACCCAAAAAATAAGCATAAAAGAAGATCAACAATAAATGAACAAAAAAAAATAATAAAATAAATAAACGATAATAGCAAAAAAGACAAAGCGACTCCACCTCCTCCTCCAAAAGTCAAGTCGGCTCTCGAGGGCGTTCTTGAGGCTACTACTACAGCTGGCGTTGAGGGACCGCCCAGGATGCTGATCAACTTGCGCCACCCGGTGAAAATAACGCGACAGGAGACCTTCTTTCCTACTTGGGACTGTTATTATTTTCACGACGAAGAATCAGAAGAATTAAAGACGAGAAGAGTTAAAGAAAAAAATAGATAATCGAAACGAAGAAGAAATCTGAAGACCAGAACAACAAAAAAAGAAAATATCAAGCCAACACTACAGACTTACGAGAGAATTCTGTGACGTCACTTCCATAACAGCGAAGACAAGCGGCAAAATTAACTCCGTAGAGACCGCTGGCTCCTTCTTTTTTATTTTTCTCTTAACCCGAACGCCGAAGAAGAATTTTCGAAGGCAGCTGGAAGGTCGATGGGAGTGCTCTTACCTTCCCTCAAGTGACGTCTTAGAATTACAAACAAAAAAGGACGCACGTTTAATCAATTCACTTTTTTTTTTTTTTCAAAATCTCCCGACATCTGACTAGACGTTATTTTACACTCTGCCTATCTCATAATAGCCTAATAATATCCGCATATAATTACGTCGAAGAGATTGTTGTCAAATTTGCATTAGATTGCTTGGATAAATTCCCATTCTCCTTCCCTCTCACGTGGTCGTATTAGGGAGTACTGATGCAAAAGATAATTTCTCGTGTTTTTTCTATTAAAAGCAAATATATAAGAATATATATCCCAAAGCATTTACTTAGCTAAAAAGATTAAATAACCGCATTATACGTGTCCTATCTAATATCTATTCCAAAAGGCATATTTATTACATACATGCTCCTTAGGATTTTGAGACTCCAGACGCGCCATCTTTGAAAACAACAACATAGTGCCAAATTTTACCCGAAAGTATTTACCATTGACCCCAGACACTGAAAATAACCGCCAAGAAATCGTCTATTGATGTAAAAACAAGATACGAAACGAAAGTGAGAACCAAATATACGTAATGGAAAAGTGCCAAAGAATGATAGACCAAAAAATATACATCCGAGCAAGTGCCAAAAAAAAAAACAGACCGAACAATGAATCCTGAAACTAAGAACACCTGTTCATCTACGACTCGAACTCATCTCTCGACACTCGACTCTCCAACACAGGACGATCCATGACGTCACCGCGTGTCGAATCTTCAAGGCCTGTGACGTCATCAAGTCAGAGGTCCCCCCAACCCCCCAGCACCCCCCTCTCCACCCCCCGGGCACCAAGACGCTCCGGCAGTAAATGAGCAACTCAGACTGTCAACCAAAACAGAGGCAAACAATAAAACAAACAAAAACATGACTCGATGAGTGTTTTTTGCATTTCCCTCCAAATGAACAAAACAGAATGGGCAGCGGGAACACGCACACAAGGGCAGAGCT